ACAGGAGAAAATCTTTGTGACCTTTGATTAGGCAAAGATTTCTTAGCTATGACGCCAAAATCATGATCCAGAAAAGAAAAAAATTGGTAAATTGGACTTCATCAAAATTAAAAATTTCTACTCTTCATAGGATATAGGACTTGTAGTCAGACTCTAATAAAGAACTCTTAAAACGGAGTAAGAAAACAACTCAGAAATTGGCAAAAGATTTGAATAATCTACTTCACCAAAGAAGATATACAGATGGCAATTAAGCATGCAAAAAATGCTCAACATTATTAATCATTAGGGAAATACAGAGTAAACACTGCAGTACTACAACACAGCTGTTAGAATGGCTCAAATAGAAAAGACTGACCATACTAACTGTTGGTGAGGCTGTGGAGCAACTGAAATTGAATGTAAAAAATGGTACACCCAATTTAGAAAACAGGCCAACTGTTTTTTAAAAAAGATAAAAATACATCTGTGTGATCCAGCCATTCCTCTCCAAGTATTTACCCAAGAGAAAAGGAAGCACGTATTCACACACATGTCTGTGCACACAAATGTCCGTTAACAGGTGGATGATAAACAAATTGTGGTCTACCCATTCCATAGAATACTAAGCAATATAATCACATGAAGTGCTGCTCAGCATAAACCACTGATGGATGTAATATGAATAGGTCTCAAACTAAGCCAAGTAAAAGAAGCCAGAATATGTATAATGTGATTCCTTTCCCATAAAATTCTAGAAAATACAGATTTCTAAAAAAAAAAAAGTAAACCACAGGAAGATAGGAAGATCAGGGGGTTCTCGGAGGCAGGGAGGGGCAGGAGGGAGGGAGTACCAGATGTTTTCTAGAGCTTTAGAAAATGTTTGGAGGTGATGGGTATGTTCCCTGTCTTGATGTTTTCAACAAGTTCATCCTCATTTGACTCATCTTTGTAGGCCATAGTATTTTTTGAGATGTAACTCATACCGTGTAATTTACCCTATTAATGTAATTCAGTAGTTTTAGTATATTCACAGTGTCCAGCCATCACCACTGTTCTAGAACTTTTTCATCACCCCAAAAAGAAACTCAGTACCCATTAGTCACTCTTTTTTTTCTCCCCAATTTCCCCAGCCCTAGGCACCACCAATTTATTTTCTATCCCTATGGATTTGCCTATTTAGGACATTTGATGTAAATAGAAGCATAAAATATGTGACCTTTGTGACAGCTTTCACTTACTGTAATGTTTTTTAAGGTTCATCCAGTGGTAGCATGTGTCAGTTCTTCATTCTCTGTGGCTGCATAATATTCCGTTTTATGGTTATACTATATTTTGTTTATCCGCTCATCACTTGATAGACATTGGGTTGTTTACACTTTTTATCTGTTATAGATAATGCTCCTATGAATATGTACAAATTTTTGTGTGAACATATGTTTTCACTTCTCTTGGGTGTATATATAAGTAAGTGAAATTGCTGAGTCATATGGTAACTAACTGTTTAACTTTTTGAGGAACAGGCCATAATATTTTAAAAGGTACTGCTGCGATTGTGGTTAGCTTATAGCAGATTGTGCTAAATGGAAGGTGTTGTCTATCCTGTTTTTTATATTGGAAATATGTAAATATTTCGGCCCACGTGTTTTCAAAAGCATTGTATTATTCCTCCATTCAAAGTAACATTTTCAGTTTTACAAGACAAAACTTGTCAAATAAACTGCCTCTGATTCTTTTGAATGTTTCACTAAAGCTTTTATAATAGTGTTCTGTATTTGTTTTTACTTATGTAAGCCATGTCCCGAATACCCAGTTTTGTTGTATGAGCTATTTTTTTTCTTATGCTTATCTAAGTCTGCTCAGAGACAAATGACCTGAAGCTATTCTTATCCTTAGTGTTGATTTGGTATAAAGTTGTGTTGTGTGTTTTTTTATCCTGTGTTCTGTGGTCTGGGCGCAGTTATTTTGGGACAAATACATTGACTGTTAATATTCATTTGCTCTCATTCGCAGTTTACAGACAAGTAACAAAATGCCTATTGCTGTTGTTGAAACTGCTTCGCAATTGTGTTCCTTCAGAACTTTTACATATATTAGATGTGATAATTTATGTGATTTTTCAATTCAGATTATGAGTTTGGTGCTTGATTTTTCTTATCAAAATTTTCAAATATTTAGTTTTAACATAAAGTAATAATGCTTTGAGAATTCTTTTCTGCAAGCAAGTGTTGTGGAACTTTTTTTATACAGTAAGGGAATCAGATTTCTTCCTATAGTTTACCTAAATGAAATAGATGATGGAAAACATCACCTACTGAAGGCAAGTGTAGTTGTGGATTTTTAAATGTTGTATTTACTTTGGAATTTCGGGTCAAGAAAAACTGCATTATAGACCACTTTTCAGACTAGAAGCCAGTGATTATATCTCACTAGTTTATTGGGTTAATATTGAAGGATAGAGGACAGTGGGATGACATATTTAAAGTGGCGAAGGAAGAAAACTGCCAACCAAGAATTCTAAATCGGGCACAACTATCCTTCAAGAACAGAGGAGAATGGAAAACATTCCCAGATGAATACTGACTGAGGGAGTTTATTACTAATAGACCTTCTGAATGTGAAGTGCTGCAGGGTGGCTTTCAGGCCCACAGTAGGGCAAAGGACATGCATTTTAAATAAAACCTATGGATTCTTAAACCAAAAACAAAAGAACAAACCAAAAACAAAACTTCATAACGAGGTATATTTTTCTATCCAGCAGATTGATAAAAACTGGGAAAAAAAAAAAAGTCCTATCAAGTGCTTGTCAGGATTTGGTATAGGCCTCTTGGTGGCTATGTCAGTTGGTGCAGCCACTTTGGAAAACAGTTCGGCATTACCCAATCAAGTCGAAGATGTATAGACAATGTAAAGTTGTACAGGCCACCAGTAGGGAAACTTCTATCGCTGCAGCAGAAGACGTATGTAAGAACGTTCACACTGACTGTAGTAGCTAAATACAGAAGCAATCTGCGTTTGCTGAGAGGAGAAAGATTTTTTAAAGTGTGTTGTAAAGTACCTGTGAAGATGGCTGTGGAGCCCAAAAAGCAACTGCTTTCAAAAGGCACTTTCATAATCTCTAAAGTACTTTTAGGGATGTATACATTTGTAGGAAAACTATAAAGAAAAGCAAGGGAATGATGGGCATCTGAGGGCAGTGGTTGCCTCTGGAGGTTGGGTCGAGGGAGGGACATAGGGTTTCTGTGGCTTTGATGATGCGAGCTAAGCGATGGTTACATGGGTATGTTTTATACCTCACTTATTATGTTATTTTACATGTATCAAATACTATATATTACAATAAAAATGTGAAAGACTATATGAAGTCTAAGAATTCATGGTATGCCACTGTTGAACGGCAGGACTGTGTGTGTTCTGAGTCAGTGCCAGCCTTCTTCCCTCCACAGCCTTCTCCCTAGCTCGCATCTACAGTTTCCTTTTCAAGTGGGAGGGAGCATGTCTGCTGTCCCACTTGAAAATGAAATCCATTAGGTCAGAGGCTTTGTTTTTTAACATTTTGTTCACTGCTGTATCCTAACAGTTCCCAGAAAGTGACTGGGACACAGTACCTGCTCAACCAGTATCTGTTGAATGAATGCGTGTGGGTGTACATACATAGATACATTTTTAAACAAAATCTAGCATGTGTATATACACACACACAGATATTTAAAGATCGAGAATTTTATACACCGAATTAACCTCTTGGTAGGGGAGTAGAATTAAAGGTAAGGGTCACATCTGAGTGAATAAAGACTGTTTACACTTTATATTTTATATTCTATTGTGTGTATTTTAATTAAAAAGGGAAGAAACATTTTGAAAGTCAGGAAGCAAATCGGGAAACCATCAAAAATGAACATCGATGACCCTAAACTCCTTAATTTCGAGAATTGATTCTACAAGTTACTAGATAGTAGATTGAGACTAGAGTGGGGTCTGGGATCAGCTTGGCCTAATGTGCACCCAGGCTGCCAGCCCTTCCCCTTCGTGTTTCCGGAGGAGGCTCCTGGAAGTGTGGGTCTCTGGAAGAGAGGACCATCTGGAGTGGAGGGACTGCGAACAATTTAAGACCTAAGGTTGTATGCTGAGTGTTTTTGTGTCCCTGTTGTTGTACATAAATAATAAGTTTGTTTCATTTAAAACTTTAAAACAACAAAAAGACCAGGCTATGACCAGGGTTTTGTACTTGGTTGGATGGAGTGAATTAAGTAGTATTCTATGGAACTCTTGAAATATTCAGTGTGCACAGATAAATAAAATGTAATTTTTCCATTCACTCTCAGTGAGTTCTTAGCAAACCCAAGGAACACAGCCCCCTACTCCTTCCCACCTCCAGCCACACCCTTTTCATGACAAAATGGAAGAGTGTACAGCAGAGTAGTCTTGTCAGACGTTCCTGCACTGCTGTGGCACGGCTTTGGCCCTGCTGCTTTCTGATGCCGCTTCTAGATCCAGAGAAGTATTTTAGAGACGTCTGTCTCCACTTTGTGGTGTGATGCTTTTGTACAAGTCTGCGTAAATACGTTCATTTTATTTAAATCTTACATTATTACACAGTGAAAATGTAGATGTCATTCGTGACAAAACACGAGGTTATAATGTCGATCTAAATGGTGGATTATGCTTAGGACAGAAGTCCATGATCATCTCTGGCCGTGTTTTTATTTCAAAAGAGGAAATTGATCAGAGGCATGTGGATAAGAACTCAGTGTTAAGGAAGGGATTCTACCATTGGCCTGTGGTTTCTCTATGAAGGAAATAAAGTTTCGCGGTATATAAGGTTTTTTCCACCCCTATGAATGCACTTGAAAGACTTCTCTTTTCTCCGTAAAATTGGGGAAACCTGTATTTCTTTAGTTTGGAGCTGCTGAATTTCAAAATGTTGTTACTACTTTTTTTTTTTTTTTAATATTTCTTGTTGTTTCCTCTTTCCCCGTTCTTGAAACTGTAACATGTTGTTTATTTCTGGTTTTCACTAGTTTTGGCGCAATTTGGACCACACAATGATTATACAAGATTTTAGACCATTCCTAAGTAGCAATCCACTGGACCAAGATAACAGAGCCAGTGAGAGAGGTCACCAAACTCACACTGACTTCTGGGGACCAAGTCGACCTCCGAGGCTGCCAATGACTCGGAGATACAGGTCACAAGGAAGTACTCGTCCTGATAGATCTCCAGCTATTGAAGGGTGAGTGCACAGTTATTTTTTAAGTTCTCTTTAAAGGTAGTTTCAATGAAGGACATTGGCATAATCTAATCTTTAAGGTTTTCATACTTACTACCTGTGTGGACAAGATGGAGATACACAGAATGAAAACGAAGTTAAAATGAATGTCTACTCAACTAGTACCAGTTAACGAATTATAACCTAAAAGATGATAAAATTAATGATATAGGTTTCTGGTTAACATTTTTATTACTGTCTCACATTAATATATAGGTGATATATTTGTTTATCAAGATTTCAGAAGATACCAAAAGGGGTCATCAAATATACTGGATGACATTAGGATTCAAAAAGACCTCAGCAGATTGGAGCAATGGACTTAATATGAAATTTAATAGGAATAAACGTAGAATTTTGGGACTGCAAAACAGCAGCAGCAGGTGTTTACCGAGTGCCTTTTATATTAGGGCATTTGTGCTAGATTCTGGGGACACAGTGGTGAGCAAGACATCAGTCGAGTGGTGGCCTTTGATCTCATGATTCCCATTTAGTAGGGATAATAAACAATTATTTTAAGTGTTCACCATATGCATATAGGACTTTGCTTCATGCTCTATCTGCTTATCTCATTTAATCTTTATGAATTAGTAGGTACTATCGCTGTTCTCATTTTATATAAGAATAAACTGAAACTCAAGAAATTACAGTAACCTGGATCAGTGGTGGATCCAGGACTTGAACTCAGGGATGTGAATCTAGGGCTGCACTATCTGACACAGCAGCCACTAGCCACAGATCGTCATATCAGTTTACAAGTTAATAAAACTCAAAATTTCTCAGTCACACTAGCCAGACATTTCAAGGGCTCAGTAGCCACAGATAGCTTAGTAGTTACCATATTTCACAGTATAGATTATAGAACATTTCTATCATCTCAGAAAGTCCTGTTGGGCAGTTCTGTTCTAGAATCTACTACACTCCCTCCCCGCCACACACCTTCTAGACCTAACTATTAGTATTTGTTACACTTTATCATGTCTGTCCATCAGTCTGTCTCCTTGTTTATCTATTTTGTGAATTTCAGTTGCAGACACAACTTAGGACAGTTATAGGATATGGAAATTCAATTTAATGGGATCGTTGAGGACAAGCCAGTGAAATCTTAGGCTATATTATTAAGAACTTCAGTGCCCAGAGGTAAATCCACTGTGTCCTGTGCCAGTTAAATTACACATAGATCACTGCCCCTTCTCTGCCTGGGTTAAACCCCAGTGTTGGACTCAGTTTCGGGTCATCTAAACTTTTACCTCCCGTGCACTTTTCCCCTCCCACCCGCTGTACTGCCTGTCGGTTTTGGATTAGGTCTGTGGTGTGCTTTTCCTCGCTCCTCCATCAGGGGGTGACGGCGAGGTACCGCTGGACGGAAATCATGTAACGAGCCCGTCGGTGCCTCTGCGACGGTTAAAGTGCACTCAGTCCCGTCACACCGCCATGCTGTCGGTTAGCTTTTTAATTGGCATTGCCCTCAGCAAATATTTTGAACTTTAGTGAATTTTTATTCTCCAAATTACCTGTCCAGTAGCTGATTCTCAGCAGCCAACTTGCATTCTTCACCATGAAAATTGGGGCCTCAGGCATGAAACCCCCAAATCCCTGTTCCCAGCATCTGTCTTTACATCGATATTCTCCTTTCCGTCTCCTCCGGTGAGGCGTCCTTTCTGTTTTTAAAGCAACTCCATCAGCCCGTGTTTCTGACTCATTCCTCTGACCTAGTTCTTCTGAGATTTTCTTTCAGCCATTTTCTTATCCCTGGTCCTTTTTCTCCCTTTACCATCCTCTTCTCCCCCCCCCCCCCCACCCCCCCCCACCCCCGCCACCCCCCCCACCCCCCTAACCCTAACCCTAACCCTAACCCTAACCCTAACCCTAACCCTAACCCTAACCC